CAGCCTACTTGTTGTTATTAGAAGTCATTGAGTTGAGTACAACTCATAGTGACCCTCTGAACAATCGATCTGTACCCTGTCCTATCCTAGACCCTTCTCACAATCTCAGATACTTGAACTCATTGCTGTAGCACTATGCCAATCCAGCTGGTTGAGAGTCTTCCTCCCTTTTTCCATCCCTCCACCTTTCTAAGCATGATGTCCAAGGAATTGCTTCTCCTAGTAACATGCCCAAAGTATCTGAGATAAAGTATTGTCATCTTTACCTCCAAAGAACTCTCTAACTGCATCTTCTTCAAGACATATCTGTTTGTTCTTTTGGAAGTCCATGGATATTCTGTACTTTTCTCCAGCATCCCAGTTCAAAGGCATCAATTCTTCTGTCATCCTAATTCATTGTCCAGCTCTCAGGTTCAGCCTACTGGGCTCGGCTAACAAAGCCCAGTTTAGGCTGCTATCTTCTCTTGCTTGGTAAAGCCTTCCTAGCAGTAATGTACTCTCCATACTGAGTCAGAGTGAGCTTTTAAAAATGCGGGTGTTAGTATCAAGTGCATAGTGAATCTAAATTTTAAGGATTATCAAGTAGATTTTAAGCCTAATCTCTTTATTATGGTTTTCCAGATCCTTCAGAGACTGCTTTCCTCTCAAACATCATCTTTTTCCCTCTTCCCAGAACTAAGTGCTCTGGTCATCTTGAGCTACTTTTTTATTTTACAAAAATGAAAGCAAAGATTTTATTGTGGTTCAAGAAAACAATTTGCAAACAAGGAAATGTAGAGCAAGAAGTATTTGACAAAGTGTTCCAAAGAGCTGCAAAATGGCATATAATCCTAAAAATAAAAACCCAAAACTAGGAGAGGGTTGCAGTTGGGCATATAATATTGCTTAGCCTTTAACACGCTGTAGGTAATAGAGCCCTGACAGATTATCTTTGCAGGAGTTGTCCAGATGACTGAGCTTTGGCTGATTGTAAGTTTCATGGAACAATTTTAAAATACAGATACAGGTTGCTATTAAGGGGTGGGGTGGTGGGACAATTTTCTGACAATCAGACCATCACTAAAGTTACATGTTTAGGTCATCTAACACCGGTTATTGAGGTTGTTGTTGTTGTTGTGTGCCTGTAACTCTTAGTGACCCCATGGACAAGAGCCCTAAACCCTGCTTTATCCTGTGCCAATCTTATTGTCTCTGACACACCTACCCCCAGTATCCCAGTCACTTAATCAATCCATCTCAT